AATGAATCGGAGCAGCGGGGAAAATAGTTCTAAAAGAAGCCAATGTGTATCAAACTTAAAACGAAGAAAATAAAAGTTCTGGCGGAAAAAAGTTGTGGTTCGAGAACGATCCATTAACCGACTGCTACAAAGAAAATTCGGTCAGCAGTCATCAAGACAAAAAGAAACAACAAAAAACATTCCCCTTTAAAAAGGTAAAATTGACGATTTCTCACCTCCTCTTTCTTTTCACTTGACTCTTCTGGCAGTACAGGCGACACAGACGGCGTGTCAGTACTGACAGCAACAGTAGTAGCAACTTTTTCTTCATCTTTCCCTTTCTCATATTCTTCTTTTATTGGCTCATCTGCCGCCTTTTGAGATTCAGCAGCATAAGCGGTCAATGTTACTGCAGCCGCCGCGATCCTGAAAAATCGTTCAGAACTTGAAAAAGCAGGCTAATTTTCATCCAAGGAGCAACAAAACACATTACCGGGACAACAACACCCAACAAAAAACTCATTATCAATAAAGTTTCCCACAACATACCAGACCAGTGAGTAGGAAACGCGTATGCCTGCCGTCTGGTCAAAGATTAACACCTATATTTGAAGTTGTGCTTTCGATGAACAATGCCGACGGCAGCCAACGAGGAAAACGCGAAAACATTCGAGTAGAAACAAACTTTTATATGCTGCTCAATTATCTCAACGGCAATTTTCGAAAAAAGAAAAGCAGCATTTCATCTACGTGCAACCTCTGCCAGGAAACAGTGACGTACGATAAACGAAGTCGCCACTTTCTTTTGTATTGCCACTTTGTGCAGCACAACAATTCTCGACTTCTTCCAACTGCCAGATATCGCCTTCTGGATGAGGTACCGAACGACGAGAGCATACAACCCCTCCCCCCCCTCCATGTGATGAGTTTGAGATTAATGCTGTCATTAAAAAAAAAAACCCTTTTCATTTTTCATTTAGAAAGCTGCGCCTTTTACCTCGCCGACAAGTTTGAGAGGAATATGTTGGCTACTGGAGTAAACTTTAGGTGCGGGAATGTCAGCATGTAACTGGAACAAAACTGTGTAGGTTTCCCCCATACATATCCTTTATGTGTGCCCGGCTCGTTATCTAACATCTATTTTCTTGCTTCAAACGTCGCCACTGTGCGATGACATAACAATACTCCTTCAGGCATTACTTCTGC